TTTCCTGAAATTTTATTGATTACTTTAAACTAGTCTTGAAATCTGATTGGTCGTTTTGTTTTACTGTCCCATTCTCATTGGCTAAGAAAAAGATGTGATTTAGAGCCAAAAATAGTGTGATTCGTGAATAAATCGCACCACTGAGAGCCAATCAGATTGCAAGGATAACCAGTGATTTCAAAATGGATTTAATAAAGATCTAAACAACCAGCGTTAGAAATTCTACTGACTTCATAACAGCTAACAGTTTTGAATAAAGTTTTCTGTGCTTCTAAGCTATTCCTGTTTGACGCCAAGTTGGTGTGTACCAAAGTTACAATCTTAGTTAAAGACGTAGGAGACTTTATCTCTTCACTGGCAAATAGTCTTTGTCCTCACCTCGCCCTCCCCAAAGGACTTTGCCAATGGGGGAGATCCTGAAAGTTTGCCACGATTGTGACTTTGTCACACAAGACAACGTAATCAGATCTAAGCATGCTGGGTGCTCTCATTTTCTAAAAATGTAAGTTAAAATGGCCAAATTGGCATTCTACACGTGCAATCGTTTTCTGACCTTTTCTTCACGATCCAGTAAATATCTTCTGACATCATCTATATTTAACTTAACCCGCTCTATAGCTAATATACGTCTAGGCTCATATCATTGCCATGTTCCTGATATATATATATTTTTTTTGGTTTTCTTTTTCGTTTTTCTTTTTTCAGGTTTCATTTACTAGCATACTTTCGAAAACTTTTATGATTTTTATTTTTCTCTCAACCGTCGTCCACGGAAAATCGAAAATAACTAAAATACCACTCGGTTTGAAAACAGAAATATTGAGAACAGGTTTCTGCCATTGTAAGAAAAACCGATATCACCAACGAGAAAAGCTGTGCAGCCGCTTCATGAGTTGCTTAGTAACATGACGGAACCTCATTTATTTCCGTCGTGTTGCCTCAGCGAAGTTTCGTCCATAACGGCACTAGCTTTCCCGACTGGTGGATCGATCGCAATAAAGTACAACTAGACAATTATCTTGCCTTTTTGTAACATTCTGTTCATCATTGGTCCCTAATCTAGCGTTTTTGTCAGGTTTTCTGAAACCCATATACTCTTGGGAGGAGAGTGGCAACAGGGAGTTAAGTGATTTCGCCCAAAAACACAACACATTGCTAGATAACGGCTTTTTTGCACCGGTAACTAAGCTACTGCGTCTCCACAAGCAACGATCAGCCCTGAACACTGGCACATTCCCTGAAGCCACTTTTCTTTCCAAGGCGGTGATTCTTTCGCTGTGCTCTCGACATTTTTCACGTAGATTCCCGGTTTCACCTGCTTGGGTTTGAACTTGAGCGAGAATATCGGCAATCACACTGTCGTAATTTGTCAAGAGCTGAGGACTTCTGGACATTACCCTTGGATCGCGTGTCAACACTGTTTCAAATTCTTTCCCCAATCGAAGCGCAAATTGTAGGAGTAGAACGTTGTGGTGGGCATTGGCTTGTTCCAGATGCTCTTTCTTTTCCTTTTGGCTGAGAATCTATTAGATTGTGGTGTGCATAATAATTTCGAACTCAAATACAGACACGTTGTTATCGGATATCATATTGAGGAGACTATTATTTGAGGATTGTTGCTTCTTTCCATCTCTATCTTATTCTGTTAAATCCTTTGTTGAAAATTTTGTGTAGAATTTTTAGATATACAGGAATATAAAATTATTCCCTCCAGGGAAGGCGAACTGTTTGATTGTAAGAGAAAAGCCAACGATAAAGGGGGCCTGGGAAGTAAGCATAGCTAAAAAAAAGTTTGGATTTGTAACTGATAACTGATAAATTTTAAACAACCGTTACGTGAAATGACAGAATTTTGTCGAAATACCCCATAACTTTTACTCGGAAAAAATACCACATTTAGACTGTTTGCAACGCCTGAGGACCTCATTGCTATCGATCCGTTACTAGGTATTACTAAGGCGTTGCTTGAAAATACAGACCTTCATTTCCGGAAAGCATTCCAACCGAACTTAAAATGTACCATTAATGTTCTCTGTTAAACTTGCAAAGTCTTCTGACTTATGACTTGGAAGATTTCCGATCAATTCTGATGTCTTTTGTATTTAAAAAAAAAAGCATTCGAAGATTGCCTTAGATTTGACGGGGACTCCTGAAGAATGCCGAGACTTCGTCATTTGATTCTAGTCATTTGATTCTGACATCTGTCATAATTACAAGAAAGGAACCAAATTATAACCGATAGCTGAGGGTTATAGAACAGTGCTCACCTCCACTTTGTAGCAGCCAATTTGTGAAAATGGACAGGGACCCTGCACTCCTTCACAGTCGCCCAAAATAGGGTTCTGGTGATCTGCCAGCTGCAAACAGAATAAGATGATTAGACTAAATAATTTAACTGGATTTTACTGAAATACTCTAGTTTGAATAACTCATCTGTATTACACATCATTCTGTTGGATATAGCTCATGGTTAAATTGATACAGCTGTATTACTCAGTACCTCAGTCGAATCATAGTGCTGAGTTACAGGCCGGGTGGCTTCATTCACAGGCCACTCTAACAATGCTTTCGGTTTACAGAGACATATCCTCACTTATTATTCCTCAGGTAGGTTGGTTCGTGCAAGCTCGGTGAGACTTTTTTTCCAAGAGCACGAACAATTCATGTAATAAAATACTATGTGACAAGGCCTGCTTCCTCACCTTTCCACGATGAATGCCCTCTTTACTACATTTATCACACGCAACTGGATATGCTGGGCATTCTGTTTCTTGATGTTGCTGCAAAGAAAATTATCATAAAGTCATCAAAATCCGCATTATGCAATTAAGAGAAAAAGGAAAGCAAACTTCGTTCGACAGCCCAAGAAAGTATCTAAGAAAACAAAAGAAGAGTGATATAGACAAGTGATATAGATAGATCCATCGAAATGGACTGACAGCATATTATCATATTATATAGTTACACTATGAACACACCTGAACTGCCTATTTAGTAACTGAAAGCCTTTTTATATTCAACGTATAGCAAAGTTCACAGGTGAGAAACGTAGTAACATGGAAAGAGCACTGGCGGTTTAATAAAGCTCTCATACCACAGACAATTATCAGCTTGTTATTATTCGATGATCTATTGGAACCCAGCCAAGTCAAATTAAAATGATATTCTGGTATTTTGGCTAAATGTGTTCCAGAAGTACACGTTTAGCAACTTTTCCAGTCTTTCGTGCTCAAACAAACGCGGTTTAGTCGGGAAAATCCGTATACCATCGGTTTGGTTGACAGGATTACATTGAATATTAGTCAACTGTTTTAACCAAGAACACTTCAGCCAAGTCAACGGAGATCAATTCTAACGAATCAACCGAAACCCGTTTAGCAACCAGCTAGACTATGCAGCTTTCGAAAAAAAACATTGTCTTCTATTGTCTTCCACATTTTCTTCCTACATTTGAAAACTTCGGTCAAACTTATGAAGCTTTTCATTTCCCGGGGGGGGGGGGG